TAGGGTTTAGGGTTAAGGGTTAGGGTCTACACTCGCCCAGAACAGGCGCCTGTCATCATTTCTACGATCGAAGAGAGTTTGGGCACGTTCTGAACACATCCGATTGCCGACACGACGCAAACGCCAGAGCAAGCAAAGTTTTGCAAACAAGGGGTGCAGGCGCAAGAAGTTCCCTAATGAGCAAGTCTGTTTGCACAGCCACCTGCCACCTATGCCTATCCCGGTTTCTTAGTAGCTGAGTGGATACACTTTACACTTTTTGGGTTAATATTACCCACTATAAAACTGAAAGTGTACACTTTTTGTGGCTTATGAACTCAGCAACTAAGGGATTAGGACAGCCGGTGTGAAAGCCGGTGTCATTGCGGCCTCTAAAGTTGCAAGGTTTAGGGGTTTAGGGTTTAGGGTTTAGGGTTTAGGGGTTTAGGGGTTTAGGGTTTAGGGTTTAGGGTTTGGCGACTGTTGTGAACTTTGAACATAAGAATGATGATTGCTCCAAGTGCTCTACAGCATGACACGTGCAATCATTACTTCAGATCCTTCAAAAGCTCTTGCACTACATTCGCCGCAACAGTCTTGTCTGAAACCAAACCACCATCTAGAGTCGCGGGCCTATACATCTACAGAATATCGTGATAGTGGTCGGAAGAACTGCTGAGTTACATCAGTCTTTCGGGTTCAAAGATAGTAGAGCTATACCATAATATGAGCAGTTCTCTAAATTAGGGTCCCTTTTGGGGTCCTTATTATAAGGGTGCCGTACTATATTGGGGACCTAAAATGGGACCCTAGTTTAGAGAACTACCCATATAGCCCCCAAAGCCTTATGCTAGGTAGTCAGGCTCGATATCGCATCGACTTTTGGTCTCCGCTCTTACATGGCAGTCTTCTGGTTCTCAGCAAGAGAAAAATCCAGCAACCCGACGTTAGAACCAGAAGCAGGCACCCTAAACCCTAAACCCACCCACACACACACCAAGACATGTAGCAACGTCCTTTCCCAGGCACGACGAGGCAAAGCCCTGGATGGATTCGGATGCTTCGACTCGTTGATGAAGGATCCCCAAACATAGTGCGCACCTTTCCGACATAGGAGTCTTAAAACTTAGAAAAGGGTTTGGGGTACATTAT